TATGAGATTCAAGTCATGAGAAGAGCGTGTTTGATATGATCGAATAGCTCAAGACCATGTCAGGAGCTAGCGCGTACTGAAAAGTACAAGACGCTAAAAGCTCTGGTGAAGAGGGAGATGCCGAGAGGTAGCTCTGTCAACACCCACGTCCTCAACATGAGAGCTCATATTGAGGAACTTGAGCGCATGAGAATGAGGCTCGATGATGACTTGGTCGTGGACCTTGATACGTGTGTACCGAGTCTAAAATCTATAACCCCATTCACAACTCACTGCAAGGATACGGATCGTCGTAACACGGGGTCGAACGCAAGGACCGGTAGCTAAATCTAAATCCTAATCGAGACTAAATCAAAGCAAGCAAGTAGAAGTGATGGTGGAAGTATGTGGAATCTAAAATAACTAAAATAAGAAAGCAAATAAAAAGGTGTAACTATCAAGCAAAGATGACTGTAGGTGTCGGGACCGTATTCGCGTGTATGGGTATATGCTAAGCATGCGAGAATTACGATATTGAATCTGTATTCGGGAATCTTCAAGCAACAAAAATAGAGAAATCACCTCCCGGCATATAACTCACTATCTAAAGTTCTCTAAATCCATATCCCTATGTGATTTATCAAACTAGATGCATGAAGAACACCATCATCAATCTTAGATCGATCAAACCATATTCCTATGTGAATAATACGATCTATTCTATCGATTTTGATCTGAAACTAAACCCATATTCCTATGTAGTTCATAATCTGAAATAATTGGCCAAGGGGTCAGCAAACACCAATCGAATAAAGCACAAATCGATAAAACCGAAACAAATCCAAATCGCAACCAAGTTAGGGTTCAAACATACCCAAAACACAAACGAATCCCTAACCCACAGCCGTGGATGTACTCACGGTTCATGGAAAAACACTGAGCAAAACTAGAAACAGAAAGAAAAGAGGGAGAAGAGAGACTCATGTCGACAGCAAGCGATCTTCACGTTCCAACTCTCCTTCTTCTTCCCGGAATCCCGTAAAACTCTTATTTCTCTCACCAAAGCTCTCCAAAGTGTGTATAAAGTCTGTCTCAAGGTTGTATCCTCCTCTTGGACGTCTGAAGGCATGTTTTATAGACCCTAGGCGGCGCTCCCAAAGTCCTTCTCCCACCAGAATTAGGAAAACTCGAATTAGGTCTTTTTCCGGGTTTTGACTCGGACCGAGTCAAGTTCTGACTCGGCCGAGTCAAGTCGAACTTTTGATCTTCACGATTTCGCTCATAACTTTCTGCTCCGGTGTCGGATTTACGCGATTTTGGTGTCTACGCGAAGCTCTTGAAGTCCTTTTTCCAATGGTAGAAGTTTCGTGCGATTTGGACTTCTGTGGAGAAAGTTATCGACGTTGCAACATGAGTACCTCATCCGGACATCTCCTTTAACGCTCCAAATAGTTCCTTTTCGGTTCCAATCACCTCCGAAACCTGTAACTCTGCAAAACTAGAGCACAACCGGGTTTTGTGTCCTAATACGCCTAGAATTCCTATAAATGCACATGATCCTCGTCTAAATCCTATAGAAACGTCCAGGAAATATAGAGAGAATTAGGAGTTATCACTCTACACAATCGGCGGGGTAGAGAACCTTATCGCTGCAAGAAAATACTACGCGGCCACCATAGACTTGACGGGCGGCAGAAACAACAGAGCCCTATTCGGGATCTGCTTGGTAAAGAACCCTAATCTCCTCTTTTATATCGGGTTTTTCATCATCTTGTCCTCTTTGGTATTGAGCCTGACATGGAGGATTACCATTTATTATACCTTCAGTGTGCCTCTGCCATTTCTCAGCTATCAAAGGGCAGGAATAAAGAGGACAGAGACATGGTGGCGCCTGAGCTGCAGTCTCTGGCTGCATCTGCACTTGAGAAGGAGTTCAAGCAAAACTCTCCGGCTAAGCTTCAGCTCCTCTCCTCCGCTTTGCGAAGCTTGAAACTTTGATCTTAAAAAGCCGTTTATTGTTTGAGAAACGCAGTCGCGAATGCTAGTTGGGTCGGTGGCCGTGGGGTTCTGTGTGGAACAGAACTCACAAGGAGGCTGACTGGTGGAGTGGTGTTCATCTGCAGCTTTGGTCTTGCAAGTGTTTTTTTCTTTCATGAAGGTTTCCACAAACATAAACATTTTTGGTGTTTCTAGTTTTAAGTTAGTGTCAGGTTGCTCTTTTTTTCTTCCTTTAAATTTTTAAATGTCTTAAAATTATTGACTGTATTATTATTTGTTGTTCTCTGAATAGACTGTATGAACATAAGCCACTCCGCTGATTTATTTCTTTTTTTTTTTTTAAATTGAATTGTTGCTTTAAGATTTCATATTTTTTTGTTTCTTGTTGTGTTTTTTTTTAACTATGTGGGCACTGTATACTAGGGGTGTCAATCGGGTCAGGGGAGGTTTTCGGGTTTAGATCGAACCGAATCAGATTGAACTTTTGGACCGGTTTAAATTGGGTCTGAACCAAGAATTGAGCCCGGTCTAAAAAGATTCGAATCGAGTTTCAAACCTTCAACCCTAAATTCGCATCCATCCTAGTATATACGTGCATGTTATTCATATCACATGTGAACTTTATATTGATATTTAATAAATCATGAGTTTCTATTTTTGTTTGGGACAAGAAGAAATATAATTTAAACTTTACTATTCAATTTTCAATGAAAGATCATATTTAGCTATTTCTCGAAATTCTATTTTATAAGAGAATGGATGGTTAAAAAATCAGATGAAAATACATGGGCCGTAACCATAAGTAGTTTTGAGCTCAAAGCCCATCATATCTGATGACATGGCAGCCCAACACGAATTGATGACGTGGCAATCAATGGTTTTCCGGTAATTTGACACGGGCCGAATCAAACCCTAGGAATTCCTTGGTATAAAATCCTCAGAAGCTGCACGTACTCGAAAAATTAGGGTTTGTATAAGTAGCTCTTGCGGCTTCTTCTTCTCCTCCTCCTCCTCCTCCTCTGGTCGTAGACGCCGCTACAACCACCTGAAGATCTCCAACCATGGCAGTCGGGTACTCTTATCTCTTCTTCGCTTGTTTCTCGGAGAATGTACCGGCGTATATCGATGTTATATTGACGTGTGGAGGTGTATTGTCTCTAGCTTCAAAAATTGTGTGATCCTAATCCGGTTCATCCCGTGTTTCAGGAAGAACAAGAGAATATCCAAGGGTAGGAAGGGAGGAAAGAAGAAGATGTAAGTAAATGTTTGAGAACGGTTTCTGATTTTCGATATACATTTATCCGTACTGGTTGTATGCTTATGTATACATCTAATTGCATGTTCCTGAACTTGAATGTTTACAAGCTGTTTCAACCTTGCCTGATGCCACATTTTGTTGCTGATGTCCGTGTCGATAACGCAGAGTCGATCCTTTCTCTAAGAAGGATTGGTATGACGTCAAGGCTCCCTCAGTTTTCAGTGTGAGGAATGTCGGAAAGACCCTTGTTTCTAGAACGCAAGGTACCAAGGTAACTTCCTGAACCGTGACAAAAGGCTTTCTTACGAGTTCAATCCTTATCATAGTATCCGATCCATGATGTTTAGCTTACAGTCATCAGACGATCTGAAATTGCACTGCATTTATATTTGGGCAGAAAAATAGGTACTGTTAATTGGAATGATTTAGAACATTGTAGATTGACACAATGTTCATCTCTCTAGAGTACCAATGTGGTTAGTGTTTTATTGCTAAGAGCAATTGCTCCCACAACATATCTTTTCTGCAGTTTTATCTACTTCGCGGCCTGATTTTTCTCTACTACTGTTAGTATATCTAATTGCGTGGGTGTGTTTCGTAATCTTATCAGATTGCCTCTGAAGGACTAAAACATAGGGTTTTTGAGATATCCCTTGCTGATCTTCAAGGTGATGAGGATAACGCTTACAGGAAGATCCGTCTCAGAGCCGAGGATGTTCAGGGCAGGAATGTGCTCACTAACTTCTGGGTAAAAGTTCTGACTCAAAACTTGTATACAACTTGGGAAGGTCTGTTTGAGGGGTAAACACTAAGTGTTGTTCGCTGTATGTGTTATCTGAAGGGAATGGATTTCACAACCGACAAGCTCAGGTCTTTGGTACGCAAATGGCAGACTCTGATCGAAGCTCATGTCGATGTCAAAACCACCGACAACTATACCCTGAGGTTGTTCTGCATTGCCTTCACCAAGAGACGTGCTAACCAGGTCAAACGAACTTGCTACGCTCAGTCCAGCCAGATCCGTCAGGTATATATATACTCGTGTATAGAGACAACCTTCGCTTTTCAAAACCTCATTCAACAAGTGGGCTTACCATGAATCATGAAAAATATACAGATCAGGAGGAAGATGAGGGAAATCATGGTGAAGGAAGCTTCGTCGTGTGATCTAAAGGAGCTCGTGGCCAAGTTCATTCCTGAGGCAATCGGTAGAGAGATTGAGAAGGCGACACAAAGCATCTACCCTCTTCAGAACGTGTTCATCCGTAAAGTCAAGATCCTCAAAGCTCCTAAATTCGACCTCGGCAAACTCATGGAGGTAACAACAATCAATCAATCAAATCCGAAGCGTTTTAAGTTTATAGATTCTGAGACTTGAGACAGAATATAAATCCGACAATTGTGTGTTCTGTTATTAGGTTCACGGCGATTACTCTGAGGATGTCGGAGTGAAGGTAGAGAGGCCAGCCGACGAAACCATGGCCGAGGAACCGACGGAAGTCATCGGAGCCTAGAGAGTTTCGCGTTTTCTGCTCTGTTTGGAAAAACAAATGTAATGTTGTTTTTCTTTAATAGTCGTTTTTTGGGTCCGAGAGAGTTTTCCCATGACTTAGCGTCCAATGATATTTGTTTTGTTATTACGTCGGCATCACTTTTCGTCACGAGAAATTTACTCTAAATTCGTACAGTACTAAGCTTAGTGACGTGTATTTTCCGTAATTAATACAAGTGATGGGGAATTCGAACTTTTCTTCTTACACAGTAACAAGAAGATGGAAGAACCGATCAAAGTGCAACTGTAAAACAACTCACAAAACAATGAAATATCATTAACTGATAAGGTTTCAGTAACGGAACAAGAACCGATTTCCAGAAAACCAAATACAACCCCAAGAAGTTGATTATTGTGAGCTTCTCTCTCACCCCTCTCCTTACACATTCAAAGGCGCAAAAGCATAAACCCTAATACCCAAGAGGATATACCCACATATAAAATGTATTGGTACATTGCTCCATCATCCCTCACGTAACCAGACCTCCATCAATTGCTCCACCTTCTGCAGATCTTCTTTCCCTGTTACTCTTGTTTCCTTTATGCCCATGACCCTTCTTTTGGCTCCTCTTGATATCCTATCAGTAACATACTGTCCATATAGATACACTCATACACAAGATACATTTTTTTTGGATAATCGAATGTTCTGGACTAAGTTGCACACTAATCTCTTCGCTGATGGTCAGCTATATGACAAAATTACATAGATTTTACATACATTTTTTTTTTGATAATCCAATGTCCTGGTGCATTACATGCCCCAACTGTGACAAAATTCAGGATACAAACATGTTTCTTCTATATGTAACTTAAGTTTTTCAGATACTCTAAATTATTCAATTTTTTTTATACCCTTGGTATAGGAAGGATCATATCAATGTAGTGAAATACAATGCATAGGAGAACCACCTTTGATTTTATATATATATATATATATATGACAGAAACAACAAACGTTGACAAAAATCACCCGTCACTTTTGACTCTTTTCTGTTAGCAGCACACAAAAGGAAATGTAAAAAATAAACCCACTGTCTTCTCTACTCGTTCTTCCAAGCATACAACGCCAATGAAAACCCAAGACTTTGAGATTTGGTGTCCGAAAAGAAAGACGACGCCTTCGTCTTCTCGGCAGATTGACATGTCCTGAACATAAACACAGCGCTATTCCCTGTCGAAGGCATACCAAAGAGCCAACTATGCACATCCCATAGGACTTCCACTTCCATTCTATCCACCATTATCGTGTTGTTCCCTCGGAATTTCCACTTTATCCGCTTCACCGTCATCATCGTCTTCCCATCCACGCGAACTATGAGGCAGGGATCGCTTACACTTGTGTCGCACTCAATCACGAGATCATGTCTTTTTCCGTCACCGGAAAACGGCGCCTTTGTTGCGAACGCTCTCTTTCCGAACACGTGCTCTTTCTTGGCAATGAGCGATGCATTTGGAGATGAAGGTGTGACTGTCGGATTCATCTTCATCTTCTTGGAAGCTTCTTTGTTCATATCGCCAAGGAGGAGGACTGTTTCTTTGTCCACGGCAACTCCCACGTAGAACCCTCCTAATGGTTCGGATCCGGATCCGAATTTTGCGGCCGAGAGATCCCAAAAGACATCGACTTTACGGGAATATGCCTCTAGGCTCTTCGACCCTTTTCGTTTGGTGAACAGCCATGGCTTGATCTCGACTTTACACAGAGTTTGGTTGCATGAATCGTCAACTCCCACTGTCAGGCCTTGACCCATCAGATTCTTAGTCCACGTGACAGTGATCAAGCAAGTACTGCCTCGAATGCGGCACTTGTAGATGCAAGTTACCAGGTTCTGTGCGTTTTTTCCGGCATTCGAAGACGAAGAATCCGCAATTTGAACGCCATTTTCACCAAAACAAGAAGGAAAATCCCTCATTCCTGGGAACTTTCAATTCCACCCTCTCTCTCCGGCTTTTCGACAAACACGGGGTGGGTGGCCAAGTGCTCGACCCTAAAGATCAGACACAGCAAATTTGCCATCAGACAGAGAAATACAGTAACGGATGGTGTAAGAGAATTAAGAGAACCAAAATGAATGTACAGAATTTACCTGAAACTGATGAATTTCATCCAAAAACGAGAAGACCCAACTCAGAAATGCTTCGAAAAATCTTCAACGTCGACCTCTATTTTCTCAATTTGATCCGTGTTCTGCAGGCAAATCCATTAACCAATAATCTTCTTTTTTCAGAGAGAGAGAGAGAGAGAGAGAGGGGGGGGGGGGGTTCGAAGCTAATCGAAGGGAATGTGTGCTAGTCCATCACTCGAACGAGACAAACAAAAAAGGTTTCACATAAAAATAAAAATTTAATGAATTAGGGGATGAACAAACTATAATTAATTCGGGAAAATGAAGCATGCTTTGAAAGAAAATGACATCTCACGGTGTAAAAAAAAATATATTCATTGTTTAAAAGAAAACGTGACGAGAAAGTTAGATAGCTATTTTAATAGCCAAGAATTTATTATTTTTTTATTTGATAATTTAAGATAAAAATTAAATAATGATAATTAAAATAAAAACTTTAATAAAAAAAATAAATATAGGATTTTACAACGATATTGCGTTAAAGTGTTGGGAAAATGCAAGCACGACGTGTACAGAAATAGTTAAATGGTTCTCTGATATTTGGAATCTGGATGCCCATTATAATATATATATATATATATATGGACACCACTTACTATTGAAATTGCAGAGCGCTATGTAAATTTATGTGTTTAATAAAGATAAACAGTTTTTATAAAAACCAAATACAACCCCAAGAAGTTGATTATTGTCGACGTGTACAGAAATAGTTAAATGGTTCTCTGATATTTGGAATCTGGATGCCCATTATAATATATATATATATATATGGACACCACTTACTATTGAAATTGCAGAGCGCTATGTAAATTTATGTGTTTAATAAAGATAAACAGTTTTTATAAAAATATATATATATATATATATATATATATATATAATAAAATATGGCATATCTCGTATAAAACAAATAAATTTTATGCTAGTAATTGAATATATCAACATCTTAGTATTTATTTCAAAGAAAACGACCAAAATATAATGTAATACATTAGTATTCGTCAATAAACAACGTCCGATAATCTTTATGTTCATTACAATCACATACAATAGTGAAACAAATGGTGTAAATAAATAATTAAAAAAACAATATCGGTCGTTAATTATATAAATTGTTGGTGGTCAAAATATAATAAATTGATAATAGTTATTAATATTTCGTTTCTAAGTTTAGGGTTTTCGATGTCGAATGGTTCAGAACTTATGCTTCAAGCATAAGAATTCATCATATCACTAGAAACAAAGAGATCAATAAAAATATTTCAGGCAATGAAATTATATATTTTTTTTATATAACATATATATTTTTGTAAAGATGCGTTATTTGATTGGATCCGGATATTGCAAAATGATTATTTTAGCAATCCATTTGTCTGACAAATGTTTGCAGCCTCTTTTTACGTAACAAATTTTCTAACGTTTCAAAACAAAGATGAATTTGATATAAAAATATAATAATATGATAATCGATAAACCGAATTCGAAATAAATATATCAAACAATGTATTTTTTAAATAACCAATTTTATTACAAATCAAAATGGATAAAAATTTTCTAAAAGCGAAAAAAAAATCAAATTTGAATAAAATTGAATCGAAATCAAAATGTTCACCTTGATTATATATATATATATATATATATAAGAAATTATATTTGCAGTATTGTTTATTTTTGAGTTTCTATTAATTAATAGAATACTTTGTATTATGATTTTGTGACAACTTGAAATTTAATGCGAAAATAATTGTGAAAAAAAAAATGATTTGGTTATAAAATTGGTGTGTATTCGAAAGGAAATGGTCTTCACGTGTGCTTGTCGATGAGTGGTTGTCATGCGTTCCAGCCCAATATTGGGCCCATCATTCTTTGTATTTTTGGGCTTTTTACGTATTTATCTCATATATATTATATATATACATATTATAAGACATACAATATTGTAATAAAAATATAAGCGGTCGATATGGTTTCCAAATAAAAAAAAAAATACTCAAACGAGTCAAATATAAATCTAAATAAATTATAATAAAAATATACATTCGTTAGAAAAAACTAGAATGTAAAAATAATTTGAAAATCGGACTGGAAAAAAAGACAAATTCAAAAATAAGAACCTTTTTAATAACAATATAATAAATTAAATAAAAATAACTAAATTTCTAAATATTATCCCTCCCTGGTTTTTTTGTGACGGATAAGATTGGTGCACGTAGGTGGTGGTTTACACGACAATCTTAAACGACAGCTTGTGACTTATGCTGCCACACATTTCGGATATATCATAATTTATTATTCTTACTATATATTTGTTGTATAAATCAAAATATTTTCCTATCAATATTGTAAAATCACATTTAACTCCGTGATTGGACCGACCAGTCTTAACGCAATCATCGGTCCCGTATTATTTTGCCTCGTTTTTTTTTTCATTTTCATTATTTTTTAAAGTAAAGTTTTATTTTCATTTTTATTATTATTATTATTGTTGTTGTTATTGTTTTTTCATGTTGTTATCGTTATTAGACGCAAGTCTGAATCGATTGTCCGGTTAAATGTGAATGTACCGGGTTGTATTTGTTTCGAATTTATTCTTTTTTTTTTCCATTTTTGCAAATATATGATAAACATTATCAAGAACTTGTCGATTGACTTGAAATATTTTTTTTAGAGTAAAATAAAATAAAACTTATTGCAAAAAAAATGGGGAGTGAAATCAAATAGACGTTACGAATAATATAATTTCAAAATCACGACTGTGACTGGTCTGAAGTCTAGTCAATTATTACTACATGTGTTGGTTTGCTGTGTGATTGTTTGTGATTCCAAAGTCTTCTTCGCTCATTTATGTTTTTTTTTTTCAATTTTCAATTTAATTTTGGATGATGAAATTTATATCCTTATCAAGATATGTAAATACCGAAAATGTTTTTAAGAAAAAAATATATTTTATTGGGGGCGTCGGTGTAAATCGCTTCCGCAGAACGCGATCAACAATCGCTGAAATCCGCGTTTGGTCGGTATGGGTCTGGTTCATTAGTATTTATAGCCCAAATAAAAAATAAGGCCCAAAAGCTTCGACCCACTAAGTTTCTAAATTTAGTTTACAAACTCCATTAATAATTTTCAAAAAGTCAAGAAAAATTTAATTTGTTGTACACAAATTACTATATACATGTATATGCACGAGAATAGATTAAAATATTTTGAAAATTTTCAACACTGAGATAATATCGTTTTTCTTATTTTTAAAACGATTGCTGACTAAAATAAAACATATACACTAAAATAATCTTAAAAATTACTCTCTCAATTTCTCATGTTTTTGTTATAGAGTTAAAATTAATTATAATTTTATTTATAAAAAAAAAATGTCCTTTTGGTGATAATGGATCCTTTTTCTCTCCTCGGTGGTTTGGTAATGGTCGGTCCACGATCTTATAATGGGCTAAATATCCTCCAACATTTCAGATATCAATAATCACATATCAGCAATAAAATTATTATATATATATATAATATATATATATCCGATATTACAAAAAAAAAGCGTAAACTATGGATATATTTTCTAATTATTTTTGCGCCTAACTGAAACTCCAAACACAAAGTGTGCCGAAAGCACAAATCCCACGACATTTTTTCATCGCTCGTTGCTTCTTCCTCCCTTTTATTTTTTGTGTGTAGATAGAAAACCCACTAAACTTCGGCTCTTATCTCTTGGTTGCTTGGTTATGGCTTCTTCCATCGTTTTCGCTGCAGCTTCGGCTACTGGGCTGCTCTCTGTTCCTCCATTGAAGGCTCGGAGATTCTGCCTTCGTTCTTCTCTGGACACTGATGTTTCCGACATGAGCGTTAACGGTAATGAAAATCGGGTTTCTTCTTCTCTCTGTTGCAGCCAGTCGACTCCTTTGGATGATTTGGAGCCTGGGTGTTTGGAAATTTCTTCTCTTCGCCCCAGAAAAATTGTGGGTTTCATCTGAATACTGGCGTAGTTTGCATATCTTGCTTTGGTGGCTCAGCTTTAGGGCGTTTATAAATTGCCTTTTTTGGGGATTTCTGTAAAGTTTTTTTGGGTGTTCAGCAACTATGGTAGAGCCCAATCTGCTGAATTCAGGAGATGAACACTTCCTTTCAGGGGTTTTGGATAAATTCTGGATTCTGAATTTTGATATGGAGAGCAACGTGTCTGTGGTTTACCTCTACTAGAATCATCATTGGCAGGAAAATTACTCGAAAATGGTGCTTCAATCGAGTTTCTGCATGGACAAAGCTTTTCCTTTGTTCCTTGGTTCGTTCACCTTTGGTTTGTAAAGTTATTGGAGATGAATTTTCAGCGCATAGCTTTTTGGTTGATTTATCATCCATTTAGTTAGTCCTTGAGAGGTAGTATTTGATAGATCAACGGCCCCTAGAATTGAATTGGATATCGGGTTTTGGCCGAGGTTTTACCCTAAGAAGCCTTTGTATTTATTGTTAAGCATACTAAGAATTCGATTAACTATGGTGTTAATATTATTATCTTTGGCCTTATCATATTGTTCTTGTTCAATGCATTGGCAATGATTGCAGCTCCAAAGGGGTTATTTCCACCGGAGCCAGAACCGTACAAGGGGCCAAAGCTGAAGGTGGCTATCATAGGAGCTGGACTCGCAGGCATGTCAACTGCCGTAGAGCTACTGGATCAAGGTCACGAGGTGTTCATTTCACTTTTCCTTGTTCTATGCCTCTTTTCTTCTCCGAGATACAATGTTTTAGATTATGCTTTTGGTTAAGATTTGTATCCATTCTTGTCAAAATTTATGGGATTCTGTTTATATGCTTACATGGTTGTTTTTTTCTTAATTTTATTTTAGGTGGATATATATGAGTCAAGGCCTTTCATTGGTGGCAAAGTCGGCTCTTTTGTAGATAGGCGTGGCAACCACATCGAAATGGGGCTACATGTTTTCTTTGGCTGCTACAACAATCTCTTCCGTTTGATGAAAAAGGTGTTGCTTATGAAACCACACTGACTCGATTTTGATCACCTGCGAATAAATTGTATAAGAAGTGCTGTGCAATATTCACTGTCTTGATATGGTCGCTTACAGGTGGGTGCTGAGAAAAACCTTCTCGTGAAGGACCATACTCATACATTTGTCAACAAAGGGGGTGAAATCGGAGGTACAGCTCAATCGTTATCTCGTTTATATAATCGATTTTAGGGTTTCAGTGTGCTGAGATGTGCATATGATTTTAGAGCTCGATTTCCGGTTTCCTGTTGGAGCTCCGATACACGGAATTCGTGCATTTTTGGTCACCAATCAACTGAAGGTATTTGTTACGTTCCTGTATTCTCTGTCCACTGTTGGCCTTGTTCATCTGTTTTAAAAGAAACCCAAGAGCATCTAAGCTTTAGACCTCAGTCTATTCGATGCCCTTACACTTGGTTCTCGATTGCATATTCCTATATGACCAGATTCTGCATAAAACGGTTTATGGGTAATTTTGTGCTTATATGAAACAAGATAAAGTTGGCTCCACCTTATCCTTTCTTGGCTGTCATGCTTTAAAAATATACGTTCTTTTGAATGAATTTCAAGAACAGCCTTATGACAAACTGAGGAACTCATTGGCTCTTGCACTAAGCCCGGTTGTTAAGGCCCTTGTTGACCCCGATGGAGCGATGAGAGACATAAGAGATCTGGACAGCGTAAAGAATGATAACCTCTGTTCTTTCATTTATATACAAATACTTTTATATATCCTTTTAATTAAAAAAAAACTTTGTTCTAATACATTTCAGATAAGCTTCTCAGATTGGTTCTTGTCAAAAGGCGGAACACGGGCGAGTATCCAGAGGATGTGGGATCCTGTTGCTTATGCTCTTGGTTTCATAGACTGCGATAATATCAGCGCTCGATGTATGCTCACGATATTCTCCTTGTTCGCTACAAAGACCGAAGCTTCTCTGTTACGTATGCTCAAGGGTTCGCCCGACGTTTATTTGAGCGGCCCGATCAGGCAATATATCACAGATAGGGGTGGCAGGTTCCATTTAAGGTGGGGATGCAGGGAAATACTTTATGATAGAACAGCCGATGGAGAAACATACGTCACAGGGCTTGCAATGTCTAAGGTGAATAACTACTGATAATTCATCATATTGGATTTAATGTTCTGCTTTCGGTTTTATTATCAGGGTTAGCAAAATCCGAAGCACCTTATGAAGTTTTAAAAGCTTAACCTGGGAAAAAAAATGTTTCAAGGCTTTTGTTTTGGGGACTTTGACTATTTTACTGAACTGAATGCATACAAAACTTTCAAGACCAGAGTGAATCAATAGGTGATGATTTGATCCATGTTTAAGAAGTTCAAAGCTTTTTCTGATGTTTTTTTAAAAGATTCCTTGCATATACATGTAGACCAACACATGCACACACACACACACATGTGTGTGTGTATATATATCCCATTATGGACAATCAAAGAAAATTTTGTGTTTTATATGATGCCATTGAATGTTCATACTTCGATTTTCATTTGTTCCAGGCTACTAACAAGAAAATTTTGAAAGCCGATGCATATGTTGCAGGTAAATATCTGTCTAAAATAGTTTGAGTTATCACTCAATATTAAATTTTGCTGAATAATCCTTTTATTTCAGCTTGTGATGTTCCCGGAATCAAAAGACTGCTACCGAGCCAATGGCGTGAATCTCGATTTTTCAACGATATATACGAACTTGAGGGAGTACCTGTCATCACAGTACAACTTAGATACAATGGTTGGGTCACTGAGTTACAAGATATTCAACTCGCAAGGTTGATATCTGTAAAACCCAAAATTATCTGATCTGTGCAAGATGATGATGATGATGAATAGTTCGGAACTTTCTTCTTTACTTGGTGTCTTTTACTTGTTTTATGAAATTATAGGCAGCTGAAACAAGCCGTCGGATTAGATAACCTTCTATACACACCCGATGCCGATTTCTCATGCTTTGCTGATCTTGCACTCACGTCACCGGCCGATTATTACATTGAAGGACAAGGCTCTTTGCTCCAGTAAGAGAAAGAAACCCTTCTCCCTCTTGTTCTTTTGAATGAATCCCCATCTGAAACGGTTCTGCTGAGTGTAAAAATTCTCGGGTTTATCGGCTTTTTTGTCAGAGGTTTTTGAAGTAAAGAATCTTGTTTCAGGTGCGTTCTAACCCCTGGTGATCCTTACATGCCATTAACGAACGACAAGATCATTGAGAAAGTGGCAAAACAGGTAAGAAGATTGGTAATGTCCCGACCAGGACAGAAATTCTATCAAAAGATTTTTGGATTTTGAATATTTTGTGTCCTCTGTTTTTTCAGGTGACCGAGCTGTTCCCGTCATCCCGGAGTCTAGAAGTTGTCTGGTCATCGGTTGTCAAGTTCGGTCAGTCTCTGTACCGAGAAGCACCTGGCAAAGATCCATTCAGACCCGATCAGAAGACGCCCATAAAGAACTTCTTCCTCGCGGGTTCGTACACAAAGCAGGTATGTACCCTTTTGAATCGGCCCATTCTCGTTCATACAAGATCAAGCTTCTTCTACAAAAGGTTGCGTCCAAGCTAAAACCCGGGGAAAAAAAATGGGGCATTGTTCTTTTGTAGGATTACATAGACAGTATGGAAGGGGCGACGCTGTCGGGGAGACAGGCATCGGCATTCATATGCGAAGCGGGTACAGAACTGGCGGAGCTAAGCGAGAAGCTTTCGTCTTCTTCCACGGAGGGAGGATCCTCTGCAACTCCAGTTGCCGATGAGCTAAGTTTTGTCTCTTGAACAATTTGGTTTAAAAAAAATAAACAAGCTTGAAGTTCCCATGCTTAATTCTCTGATGGTTAAAATTGTAAAAAAAAAATATTAATAATTGTAGTATACTAAGAGATAAAAACAGGATATTATCACCTGTAAAAGCACTTTTATATACATATATATATATATAAAAGCATGTGTAAAGAAAACCATGTCTTTGCTTGCTTTGTCTTGATTAATTAATTGAATTGACCTGCCATATGTACCAGGTATGGATTATTATAAATTTAGTTCTAAACCGGTCCAAATATAAATCGAACCGAATAATATTCGGTTTTAATTTGATACAAATTTTATATTGTATAACTCGATAAATACCGGACTGACTAGAATCAAAATCTAAATTATCCGTCCTTAATCTCAATTTTCAGCCTTTTATCAAAATTTTATGTATGCATATATAGTTTCAAGGTTTGGTTATTGTTTAGTGTATATATAATAAAATTATTTGGAACCCAATCGATACTAACATCGAGACAAACCGATTGACATTCGATTTTAACTTTGTTATAATTTTTTTATAAAATCGAACAAATCCATGAATAAATAGGAAATCGAAGTCTATTGGGCCCATATCTTTTAGGCTTTACTGGGCCTAATGGGCCAATCATTTAGGTATTTGGGCTTTGTGGTTTTCTCTCTCTTTTTTCTTTTTACACGGAAAATATAAAAAAAATATTCCAAATATTTTTTTTACATGAATTAATTGATGTGAAATTCGGCGTGAGTCAAACATTTGGTTTGAAAATTCAAGCCTTGTGAAAAGCTTACTTTAATACAATTCTCCTGACGTGTAATTTCAAAGTTGGACCGAATCATTATTTTGTATCACTTGTTTGAATTGACGTTCCAAATCTTTGTAAGAGGTGGTACCATCTAATTGCACGTCATTAAGTGAAATATGTTGTCTAATTAACTAGATAATTAATTCGGTTTCCATTTTTTTTTAAAAAAAATTATATTCATTCAATTTTTTTCATCGTTCCTTTTTAGAGACTATAGATTATTTTAATTGTTAATTATGTTAAATTGGAGTTGAATTCAATTAATTTGATTAAACAACAAATGGAAATGAACTCTAATCGAAAGATATGTTTTTACAATTAATTAATTTATTCATGTATATTAATATTCTTAACCAAATAGCTACCCCATTCTTTTTGGGGTTTACTTGACTAAATTTTCTTTCCGTACGGCTAACCACGGAACCGTCAGTCAAACAAACAATCCATCGATTAATTTAGTAATTAATCAGATGGAAAATTAATGATTAACCTCTAAAGCGCCTTTTATTTTTTGCGCGTGGCAATGATGCTTATCCTAATTAATAAAAACAAATTTAATAATATAATATAGAATTTTGCATTTAAAATTTTGTAAAAGAACAAAAAATACAAACAAGTATCTGGTGGTAGATGGAAAGCATATTGTTCAACATATTCCATCGTCACATCTCACTTGGAAAAATTAATGATCATAGTTTACTTTTTCATAATATCATACATACATACATACATACATACATACATACATACATACATACATACATACATACATACATACATGCATACATACATACATACATACATGCATGCATAAAGAAAAAAAAAAGACCAAACGGATAAAGCTTTTTGGTGGTTCGACTTCATTATCACAACAACTAATGGAACCCTTTCCATAAAGGCTATGATTATAATTGTGTGTGGTCTTCCTACACACACATGCACATGCACATGCACATGCATGCGTGTGTACAGATTAAAGGGTCATCCATCCATCATTGTGTGTGTATATATATATATATATATATATATATATATATATATTTTATGGTAAAGTCGTGATTTATTAAATGCCATACACACACATATATACATATATATGTATGTATATAGTTCATTTGTATGTAACGGCCATGCACCGCGTATATATATAATATGGATTCATTAGGATAACACATGCACAATATACATTCGTTTACATACATTATTAATAATGAGATAAAATTATAATCTTATATATATATATAAGTTGAGTTCAAACTTAATTCAAATAATATAATATAGTTTATATAAAAAAAATTATATAAAAAATAATATAATATAGCATATAAAAATATATAAAACCATTTCATAAAAAAATATATAAAACCGTATAAAATGTACCGATACGTACATACATAATGGAAATATGGAAAGTTGGAATATAATAAATTTAGATCTAAAAATCGAACAGAGCAAAATGTAATGTCAAGACATTGTGCCCTAACACACACAACTGGAACACGTGCCACGTGGCCTACGTTGTCTTTGGGCTTCCTCTGTTTGCCTCTCTCGGAGCATCCAAACGACATGTTACCGAATTGTCTTTCTGTTCCATTTCTCTTTTCTCTCTCTCTCTCTTAAATATGATATAATAATAAATTGTTATTATTATTTTATCACAGTAAAATAATTTTTTTTAATGTTCTCAGGATAAGTTTCAGCATTGGATTCCAATATATCTGTAGGTTGGAAAATTTTTGTTAAATTATTATAAAAGGAACTAATCGCTTCTAGATTATTATATTGATCAAATATTAAGTGACGCGTTGATGAAAAAAATATAATTATATGTTTTTATATATGCAATTAATTATGATCAAATAAACAAACATTTATGATTTGGTTAACAAACAAATTAATTCGTTCTTTCATTGTTTATTTTACACCTCATGATAGCATAATATTGAATTAATTTATACTACTATTATCTACTATATAAATTAAACTAAATTATATATTTATAAATTCAAAATTGAAAATATACGAGAGCTCGAATCTGATTGAAAGAAGTGATTATATCTATGAAATATTCTCTCTTTTGTTGTTAACTCGTAGTAATATATATTGGAAACCCACACACCGTTTTTCTTTGATATATTAAATTGTTGCTTGTTTATTGACACCATTGCTTCAAATAATTCATTTTTGGTAAGTCGTTAAACTTAATTAATTAACGAATTTCGTGAATATGTTAGGTAATTTATTTCAATATTCAATTAGGATCACATGTATAACTGTGCTTTGACGAATTTAATGCGGTCCAAAATTCCCTCCGCATTATTTTTATTTTACCATTGATTTTGCAAGTGAATCACCCCACACTCATGAACGTGAATAATGGCATCAATTATTATTTAGAGATATAATAAATAATATTGATATTGAAATATATACATGTTTTTTTTACTCTTTTATTTTGGACCACTTTTTTCTCCCTCTCTCCCCTTCCTTTGTCGTCTTTCTTTCATGAGAGGTGGTTGTGTTTTTCTGCAAGAAAAAAGAAAAAAAAAACTTCCACTGAAGAAGAAATCTTGTCTTGGCTCATAGCCCCCTCTCTCTCTCTCTCTCTCTCTCTCTCTCTCTCTCTCTCTCTCTCTCTCTCTCTGTGTGTTCTATGGGTATAAATGAGAGTACGTGATGATAATGTTCTCTCTTACATGAGATTCGTGTTTTTTTTATTGAGCAGTTTTTGTCAGAGAGAGGGAAAAAGATCTTACCAGAAAGACTATTAGGGGAAACCTAATCTGAACTCCCGATTTTGTTTTTTAAAAGAGGGAAATTTTGTTGCTAAAACTAAGCAGATATAATTTGTTTCAGGGAAGGGGTTTCTGGGTTTTTTCTTCTTCTTCTTCTCTCTCTCTCTCTCTCTCTCTCTCTCTCTCTCTCTCTCTCTCTCTCTCTCTCTC